TTATTTTCTTTAAATTAAATATTATTAATATGAAGTATTTGACATTTTTAAATTTGATATTGAAGCAACGTATTAAAAAATTTGAAATATTATTTTCCTGATTTATTTATTCTTGAATATTTTCGTAAGATTTTTTGGTACTCATTGTGATGGAGCCGTGAACTCTTTATTGTGGAAATAATATTATTGTTGGATTATTCTGGCATGAGCCGTGAGCTCTTTATTATTGAAAAATATTGTTGATTTATTATGGAAAATTAAAATATTGGGCACTTGAGGTATAAATTGTGATATATTGTGATATTAATATGCATTGTGGTATAAGGTTTGGATATTGAAACGCATGCGGTGAGATAAGGGTGGCTTGATATGCGTGACTAGTAGGGGTGACTACTAGAAGTCATGCGGTGTGATAAGGGTGGCTAAAATGCGGGAGGCTATTTCGGAAAAAATATTTTCTTTGAATAAATTGTGAAGGCTCCCGCAGTGACATAAGAAAAATGAGATATTGTGAAATTATTTATAATTTGAGACTACGAGGCGGTACCTCGGTAGTGCCCTTGTTGATATTGATTTATGACCATAGTTGCCTTCGATTAATTATTGTGATTTTCATAAAGTTGAAGGAAATTCTGTTTTGATTCCATGAGATATTATTTGCAATTATTTGGTGTCATTAAATGTGACATACTATTTGATTCATTTCCAATGTCATTTTATTTTACTATATTGTTAAATATTTTACCATGCCATTATTATATTTCAGTAGGGCCTCACCTGACCTCGTCACTACTCTACCGAGGTTAGGCTTGGCACTTACTGGGTATTGCTGTGGTGTACTCATACTACGCTTCTGTATATCTTTTTGTGCAAATCCAGGTACATCTTACCAACCTAGACGTCAGTGAGTTACCTGCGCACGGAGACTTCGAGGTATATCTTCCAGCGTCCGCAGACTCCGAAGTCCCCTTCTATCATTTTATGTTGCTTCCTTATATTTTATTTAGACCTTGATATATAGAGACATTGAGAATAAATTCTTAGAAGCTTGTGATTTATTTCTACCGAGTTTTGGGGGTTGAAATTTTTTGAATTGTAGTTTATTTATTTCAGATATTTATTATTATTCCGCATTGTTAGGCTTACCTAGTTTTAGAGACTAGGTGCCATCACGACATCCTACAGAGGAAATTTGGAGTCGTGACATCATTGAAGCAAGTGCTAGTCAAAATATTGGGGTTGGTGAGGAGACTTTAAATGGTGCAACTGCAGCTTCACCTACACCTACTGATCCAGTAGCTCCTCTTCCAGATCCAGATCTAACTTCATCCTCAACTGAGGAGGAATCTGATAACTCAACTGAAGATAATTCAAGTTATGAAGATAGTGATTTTTTTGATGATGGTGTAGAGGATTATAGCAGTGATATACATGAAGAGTTCATAGATTTTAGGGCTGAGAGAAAGTCTTTCCAGAGAAGAAAAAGAAAGGAGAGAGCTCCTGCTGACCCTGATAATGTTCCATATGGTGTAGCCGGACCAGATCTGGGGTTTGATGAAACTGAAACAAGTAAAAAAAATTATAGAAGGTAGGATAGGGGATGATGAACCATATTACCCAAGTTCTGATGCATGTAACTTTAAAACAGATGAAGATGAATGTTGGTTGAAGATGGAGAAGAAGTTAGGATAAATCTACCAAGAAGATCTTCTTCTACAAAGAAGGTAGTTTATGATCCAATAACTAAAAATGTTGTGTGACAGCTTGGTATAATTTTTGCAGATGTGGATGAATTTAGAGATGCAGCAGCCAAGTATGCAGTTCAAAGGAGGGTTCAGGTAAAAAAAGTATGTGAATGAGCCAAGAAGAGTCAATATAAGGTGCAAGGATAGTTGTTCATGGCTATTGTATGCAAGCCTTGACACTTCAAGTAATAATTTTGTGCTTAGGACTTATAATCCAGTTCACAAGTATAATAGGGCCACCAGAAATTACCTGTGCAATTATAAATACCTGGCTAAAGTGTTTAAAGATAAAATAACTGAACAACCAAATATAAGAGTGTTCAAGTTACAAGAGTTAATTAGGAAGAAGTTTAAAGTGCATGTTGGCAAGACCACAACTAGGAGAGCAAGAGCCAAAGTATTGAAAGAAATTATGGGTGACCATATTCTTGAGTTTGAAAGAATTCTTGATTACATGGATGAATTGTTAAGGACCAACCCTGAAAGTACATGTGTGGTGAAACTTGGTGAAGCTAATGAATCTGGTAAGACAGTATTTCAAAGTTTCTACATTTGTTTTAGTGCATTGAAGAATACATTCATGGGGTGTAGGAAATGCATAAGTTTAGATGGTTGTTTCTTGAAGGGAGTTAGTAAAGGGCAGTTATTAGTTGTTGTGGCTAAGGATGGCAACAACCAAATGCTTTCACTTGCTTGGGCAGTAGTGGAATTTGAGAACAAAAATACCTGGACATGGTTTGTGTCTTTTCTTAAGGATGATTTGGGATTAGGAGATGGCAGGGGTTTCACTTAGATTACAGGCATGCAAAAGGTATATCATTCCAGCTTTTTTGATATTCTTTTTTCTGTTTTCATGTATGATTACTAACCAATTTCATTTTCTGTAGGGACTTCTAGCAGCAATTCAAGATATTATACCAGCTTGTGAGCACATGATATGTGTCAGGCACATCCTTGCAAATTGGTCAAAGAATTGGAGAGGGATTCAGAGGAGAATGTTGTTCTAGAAGTGTACTAGAAGTACATATGAGGCTGAATTCAAGAAAAACCTAAAATCACTCAGTATGTTGGGTAAGAACATAGTTGATGATCTTTTGTACTATAACAAAGACACTTGGTGTAAGGTGTATTTTAATATGGAAGTCAAGTGTGATGCAATAGATGATAATATGGCTGAAAGTTTTAATGCTTGGATCCTAACTGCAAGGCACAAGACCATTATTACCATGCTTGAAGAAATACAAGTCAAGATGATGACTAAGATAGCTAAGTTAAGGGAATTTGCAAATACTTGATCCTGCAATATTTCTCCAAGGGCATTAAAGGTCTTAGAGGAAAATATTGAAAAGTCAATGAGGTGTACAATTATTTTTAATGGAGATACAAGATATCAGGTTAGGGAGGGAATAAACCAACACAGTGTTTGCCTAAAAAATAGTACTTGTAGTTGTAGGGCCTGGGTGTTGAAGGGGATACCATGTCCACATGTCATAGCTGCGATGTACTATAAAGGGTATAAACCAACTGACTATGTTGATAATTGCTAATGAAGGAGACATATTTGATGACATATTCTCACTTCGTTCAACCACTCAATAGTATGAAAATATGGTATACATCTACTAGCCCTCTTATTGCACCACAAGTGGTGAAAAGTATGCCTGGTAGGCCCAAAAAGGTTAGGAGAAAAGAGGCAACTGAAACAAAAAAATCTAAAAAGTTGTCTAAAACTGAAATTGTCATGAGGTGTAGCATCTGCAAGGGTAGTGGTCACAACAAGAGGGGATGTCTTAAAAGTGCTAGAGATCCATCATATTCAAGAACTGTTGCTATACCATCAAATATAACTTCTAGTGCTGCAGAAGCATCAAGTTTAGGAAGAAATAGAGGTAGACCAAAGGTAGTATAGTATATCTAACTGTATGCACTTTTAAAAAAAAAATTCAAACACTATATCTAATTGTTTATTATCTGTTAGAAACCAATAAATGTAAAAGTTGAACCTCCTGCAAAAAGAGGGAGATGAAGACCTAGAAAATCAACATCTACTGCACCTAATGCCTCTACTGTTGCTGAATTTTCAAGTACTGTAACTTCTGCTGCTGAATTTTCATTAACTACACCTATTGCAGCAGCTAGTACAGGAAGGGGAAGAGGCAGATCAAACAATACAACTTCCGTAGTACCTAATGCAACATCTACTGGTAGTAGAGGTAGGGGAAGAGGAGGATCTAGGAATGCAACTACAGCTAGTAGAGGTAGGGGAAGAGGAGGATCTTAGAATGCAACTCCATCAACACCTAATGTAACATCTACTGCTCATCATTCACTTGCCAGTTGGTTTGAATGTTCTGCACCTAGTATATCTAAAGCACCTAATGCATGTGCTACACCTAATGCCTCTACTGCTACACTAAATAGAGGAAGGAAAATGGTGTGAAAAATACAAAACAATTTAAAAGGCTAAGAGTGATGGGAATGGGTGTGTTTCAAGCTGAAATGGCTTCAAAACTTTGAATGTAAGTGTATATGTATATTTGTGATATTCAATATGTTTTGCATATTTGTGATAACTTATTGAGTTATTCTTTCTCTGTAGCCTGGCATGCCAAGTAGCAGAATAGTATCCATGCCAAGTACCAGAATAGTATCCACTGGTCCAACAATGATAACAAGATCAGCTAATATAATTGGTGACATTTATTTCAAACCAAGTAGTAAACTGAAATAGAAGAGGAAACCAACAATCACAACAAGAAGGCTTTAAGAGATTAGAGGGCAACATAGAATTCAAACAAGGACTGGTGGTTCAAACAACCTAAGCCAGAATAGCAGTTCTTCACATCCCCAGTAGATTTGGTTATTTTTGTTGACTACAATCTGCAAGCAAATAAGTTTTTGATATTTTTGGTTGACTACAAGCAAACATTATTTCTCCTAAGCCAGAGTTTGGTTTTTTTTTTGTTGACTGCAATCTACAGTTTTTATCCTTTTAGAATGATAATATATTAGTTTTCAAATATTGTCTTAGTACATTTGATGTTTTGTTGACTGAATTTGGTGGTATTTATAGAATGTTGCAGTTTTATTTCTAAGAAATTCAGTGATGTCTTGCATTGCCATTTACATAAAAGCTCAATGTGACTTATACATAGTAGTTGAAAGAATCTGGGAATCAATCATATCAAGTGAGCAATTTATACATAATTAACTTCCACATAGCATATACCAAAATGAAGTTACATACCACAATGACAACAAAACAGAGTTGTTACGGCCTTAACCGATCACTTTTAAATAATTGCTATAACACAAATAACTGCTATTGCAGCTCCATTTGATCACTCTCTAAGTTGCCAACTTGGATTAGGCTGTTGATACACATAACATCAAAGACAAATCGTAATACACAAAATAAACTTCGTATTCAACCAACACCAAATCCTTTTCTTTTTCATACTTTCAAGCTCAACCAACTGCATCTTGAGGTTGTCATAACGCACCAAATCTTCTTCCATCTCTTTAATTTTGTTGAAAAATTTTGGAAGAATAAATTTCGATCTTTTGTTAACTTCATTGTCCCTCCATTGAAAACATTTGCAACTAATGGCCTGAAAATTTCATAAATTGAAATCAATTTAATGACAAAACACAAGTTAATCAACCACAATAGATGGGCTAGAAATGAACACATACACCTTAGTAGGGGCAAGACCAAAATCTTCTGCCCGGATTACGCTTCGACCAAGAAGTCTGCATTTGCAACAGTATTTCATGTTTGCATCGCACTTCAACATTGAGCATTGGGTCTTCATCGTCCATACGAAGTCTATTCAAGTTGGTATTTGCCATTTCATAGCCCTAATTTCTAATATATAAAAATTGGGGAAAAATTTCAAACTCTAAAATAAAGGTTATGAACTCGAATTGACTAAAGATTAGTAATTTATAGTCTATAGATTATAACTCACCTCTTCAATTCAGCACCACCAATAGAAGCTCTTCAACAACGACATATAGATTAAGTTTAGGAGGAGTGATAAAAGAATGGGTTCAAATAAAATAGTTGAGTTTAACGTTTGGGACCTTTTCTTATGGCTTATTTGGCATAAGCATATAATGTTAAATAAATTTCGAAAAAAATAAGTTCAAGAGGATAATAGAATCCAACAAAACAAAAGGTGTATATAGTTGGTAATATAGTCATAGATTGGGAAGGATTTCATGCATTATCCCGTTAATTTAATACTCTTTCCTATTTCTTCTAAAGTCGGGCGAGGAACGAGAGAATGTAAAGCACACAAAATCAACACGACAAACGCTATTCCCCATGCAGCTCGATCGAGCTATACATATTTGTAGAGAGAGAGAACATATGGTATTTATACGCATTTAGAGAGAGAAAGGCATTAAGAAAATTTCCAAGTATTACGAAACACAAGGTGACGCTACGATTCTTACGTTTTTTTGCTGAAATTTGGACAATCCACTTGTCATTCCTTTGTTGATTCCTATCTCTATCTCTCGTTTCTTGTTGTTGTTTGCCTCCCCCAGCTTCCATTTTCCTTTGGTCTTTACCCTTCCCCTCATTCACCCCCCACCTCTTCTCACGCCAATAGAACCAAAAAATATAACAAGAATTTTTTTCTTTCCCTTTGCTCTAAAGATTCATTCATACATACATACAAAAATTACAAACATATATATACACGACGACGACATTGTTGCATAATATATAAGTTATATACAAAACAGAATACGTGCGCAGTTTTGTATGTTAGAGATATTATAATTTGTTGTAATAATGGTGAAGATAATGGATCTGAGGAGAAATGGGTATTTGATACTTTTGTTGGTTTTGTTGGGTGGTGATTATGAGGTAGGTGTGAAGGGGGAGAATAATGTGGTTTTCAATGTGAAGCATAAATTTGGCGGGCGTGGAAAGTCTGTTTTGAAGGATCTCAAAGACCACGATGCCCGTCGTCACGGCAGAATGCTCGCCGCCGCCGACTTCCAGTTGGGTGGCAACGGCAGTCCCACCGGTGCAGCGTGAGTTCCTCCTCGTTCCTACATATTTTCCCTGCTTTATTTTGGAACCCTGTCGTAACTTGTAAGGTTGTCACAAGTTCCAACCCTGAAAACAGCCTCCTGCATAAATGCAAGGTAAGACTGGATACGATAGACCCTCGTGGTCCAGTCCTTCTCTAGACCCTGCGGATAGCGGGAGATTAGTGAACCGAGTTATCCTATTTTGTACAAAGGTGTTTGACATGCCAAAATTTAATATGTTAATTTGAATTATGTACTCTCTCTGTTCTCGTTTAGTTACTCCCTCCCTCATGAGATAGTTTGATTTGACACAGAGTTTAAGGAAGAAAGAGAAGACTTTTAAAATTTATCGTCCTAAAAATATAACGCATAAAAGTTTTGTGAGACCATGATATTTGTGTGGCTATAACAACTTCTCACTAAGATAAAAGGTTTAAATTTAAATTGTTTCCAAATATATAAATGTATCATTTTTTTCGGAACGGACTAATAAATAAAGTACCTCATCTAAATTGAAACGGGGGGAGTAATATGTTTACTACAATCAGTTATCTTCAATTATTTGTCATTTTAGAAAATCAAGAATAAATAATTTTTCTGTCTAACTTTACCCTTAGCAATAGGTTTGATAGAGTTAAGAGGCATGTAAACAAGTTTCCTTATTTATTAGAAATAGATTAATACGATCAAGGATTAAAGAGGGTAGCTTAGTAAAATTACTCTTATTAATAGTTTCTTAAAGGGCGTGTAAAAAATTTATCTTGACAACTAAATAAGAACAGGGGTAGTATTATCAATGATCTAGACTTCCCCTTTAGTGAGCCATACACAAGGTGAGCCAAGATTAGTCGGGCCAGTAGATTTTTGCGAGTAAACAAAAAAATATTAAAGTACTAATTGTGAAAAAGTTAGTTTGATTGATAATTTGAATAGTATTATGAATATGAATTATTGTGGTTACTTATTTTACTCATATTATAAGGGATGCAGGCTATATTTCACTAAGCTTTCAATTGGGACACCTTCAAAGGACTATCATGTCCAGGTCGATACTGGAAGTGACCTTTTTTGGGTAAACTGTGCACGTTGTCTCAGATGTCCTACGAAAAGCAAACTCGGGGTATGATCCTAGAACGAAACGAGTATCGTAAATTTCTTGACGTATGTTGAATAATTATTCAGTTATTTGTCACACTAACAGATAGATTTAGTGCAATACGACTTACAAGCTTCAACAACTGGGAAATCTATTACCTGCGAGCAAGATGTTTGCAGTGCTATGTTCAATGCAGACAGCTCTGAATGCAAGGTGGGAAAGCCCTGTGAATATTTGGTTACTTATGGAGATGGCAGCTCAACTGGAGGATACTTTGTAAAAGATAACATCTATTTGGATCAAGTGTCGGGAGACTATAAAACATCATCCTTACAGGGAACTGTAGCATTTGGGTATGTTTAATCCTTGTAACTTAAAAATCTACCTATGCTGTTCTTTTTCCAAGTAATCTGACGCATCGACTTGACTTACTAATCTAGTTTCAACTTTTGATTTGTTATTGTGTACACGAATTTGATGTTTATAAGCTTTTCTAAGTATCGACTCAGTTTGTCAAACCAATCCTCCAACCGAGTTGTATACTCCATTTCTCAATGTCTTTGAACTTGTCCATAGCATGATGGTTTAGTCAGTCGTGCTAAAAACGAATTCTGTTGTATTTTGTGATATAGTAAAGCAGGTACATTGTAATTGTAGCATACATTAGGAGGTCAAGTAATACTATGCCGCGTGGACTAATCAACTGAAGTAGATATTTGTTTGTTAACTAAGTTATGATTGTTAAGCTTCAAACCTCTGTTGAGTCGGAGATCTGGGAACGTAGGTGTTAAATATGTTACATCTAAGCTGTACTATCCTAAATGAAGTTATATGAATTGGAGAAGGAAATACGTGAAAAGGATTTTTAGAACTAATAAAGAAATGGACCTTGGGTCTTATTCAACCCCCAAAAACTAGCTCATGCGATGAGTATTACCTAAAACCATATAAGGAGACATAGAAACAACATACCCACCGATGTGGGACACTAACACCCCCGCACGCCTAGGATTAGACATCTGGAGCGTGGACACTATAAATAGGGGCCCAACATCGGGTAAACAGTGATGGGTCTGGCTCTGATACTATGATAAAGAAATGGGCCTTGGGCCTAACTCAACCCCAAAAGCTAGCACATGATTTGAGAATTGCCCAAGACCATAAAGGAGACATAGAAAACACACCCCCATCGATGTCGATGTGGGACACTAACACGAACGTGGATAGTCACCGGAAAGATAATGTGATTTGTGTATCATATTATGTATGATGATCCTTCTCCTCTTCTTAATGTATATAATGGTAATGCAGTGAATGCACCGATGAATGAGTTCGCAGTCTCTAAGTCTATCATACTTGTACAAGATCGCTAACAGTTCAATACAATGAAGATCTATAGTGCCTTTCTTCATTTCCCTATATCAAGCATAATAAAGTTGTGTTTCCAAATCACAGTATTTTGATTCAAAATTTAGATGTAAAATAATGCTACTCTACTCTTTGATATTATAGTCTGCATAGGCAAATAGTTCATCTTGTGATGACGTGTTTGTATTACCTGTTTTTGATCCAAGACAGGTGTTCGTCTCAACAATCTGGAGACCTAGGTACATCTACTAATGCGGTTGATGGGATAATTGGTTTTGGAGAAGCAAATTCGTCTGTCATCTCACAGTTAGCTGCAGCTGGAACGGTGAAAAAAATGTTCGCACATTGCCTGGACGGAGTTAAAGGAGGTGGTATATTTGCTATTGGACAAGTAGTTGAGCCAAAAGTAAATTCAGCACCATTAGTCCCAAATCGGTATGCACTTTTAGTTTCCACCCCCTCCCCAAAAATAAAGGGAAAAGAATTGAACAAATAAGACATGCAGACAGAAAAATAATTTGTACCAAACATTACTGTGAAACTGAATATTTTTTCCTGTTCTGCACCATATAAATGGAGAGGATCTCAACTATTGCACTGAAAATAAGCAAGCCATTTTATTGAGTTACCTTGAATTTCTGTGAGAGGCTGTTTCCGCGGCTTGAACCCGTGACCTTCTAGTCACTTGATGGCAGCTTTTACAGCTGCGCCGAGTCTCTCCTTCAATTTCATTTATATTTATTTTGTTTTTAAAAGGGAGAATTGTTTTTATGCAGTAGCACATCTGGTTAGAACCAAAACATACTAAGTGGAGACCAGATGATTAATGCTGATTTCCTTTGTTTATTGTGCTAAAATGCTTCTCTTCTTCTTTAGGGCACATTATACTGTTTCTCTGAAGGATATTGAGGTTGGTAGAGAAGTTCTAGACATCCCGACTTCCCTGTTTGAGTCGAAATCCAGTAAAAAAGCAATAATTGACAGCGGGACAACTTTAGTATATCTTCCGAGCAAGGCCTATAATGCTCTCATGAACAAGGTAACTTCAGCAATCTATAAACTGCTAAGTCTGTTATTTCTTGGATGGTGTATATAGCAACTATGCATGGGTACATGGTCCTTTAATTTCCCCTTAACTGCTCGATTTTTGACTCTATGCTCCTATAGCTGATCCCCACTTGTGGGAACTCACTGGGTTTTTTATTGTTGTTGTTGTTGCTCCTATAGCTGATGTCAAAACAACCACAATTGAAGACTCATCATCTTGACGGAGACTTTGACTGCTTTATCTACAGCGGAAAGTAAGGTTCTAACTTCTCATGTTAGTTTCAAAATTTATTATCATTCTTTACAACCTGATATTTTGAGAAATCTTTCTAATCTCCTGGTGCAGTGTTGACGATGGTTTCCCAGCTGTAACATTTCAGTTTGTGGGAAATCTTTCTTTGACAGCTTATCCCCATGATTATCTTTTCCAAGTTCGCGTAAGTAATCTAACTATGCTCAACTTCTCCAACTCTCTCTTTACTTGATTACATGATGTTTTACCTATCCAAGAAACTAATAATCACATGATCGTCTTTGGTATAGGCCGTAGATTTCTTTCCTATTATCTCTATTCAGCATTGCGATAATTGGTTATCTATGTGTTAATACGGTAGATAAAAAAGGGCAGCCCAGTGCACTAAGCTCCCACTATGTGCGGGGTCCGGGGAAGGCCGAACCACAAGAATCTATTATACGTTGTCTTACGCTGCATTTCTACAAGAGGTTGTTTCCACGGCTTGAACCCGTGACCTCCTGGTCACA